GGGCTTACATACGACAACTCCCATAAGAGGGGTACTACGGGAAAGAAAACACATAAGCAACTAAATAAAATAAAAATACAACGACTCTAAATGCCACATAAGCAAATAACAAGCCACATGAAAATAAAATACATCAACGACTCAAAAATATAAAGACTCGATCGTGGCCGTAGATCGTCGGCCGAGTCTCTGATAAACTCTCCATGATGATATGATGTCCCCATCAATAATATCATATTTAACACACAAGTCTTATCATATTATATAATTAATACAATTGTCATAGGAGAAGCAATCTAAATAGTATCAATTACAGTACTTCCATTTTCATTTCTTTTGCAAAATCTTTTTCAATTCACACATGTGGGTGCATTGAATCCACAGTCAGTATCATAAGAGGTGTACTCCAATTAAAATGCACATGCAAGCATTTTTAGTTAATAGCTTTACTTGCATTCTCTATATCGATTAATATTATTGTATGATAAGCAATGTATGACTTATGCTAAATGACCAAATTATAATAAGTCTATGCCATCAAATTCAATATAAGCAATTGTATTTAACAAAAATAGCACAAATAATTTATAATAATGATATGTAGTTAAATATCAATGGTGAGTTTGGAAGAAGCAACATCAATACTATAAATTAGGAATATAAGCACTCTTCTTAAAACCAAATGATTAGCTTTCCCCTTTTAATTCTTACTCTTTAACTTTCATAGTTGAGCTCTATAATCATGTATAATTATGTAAGATTATCCTAACTTATAACTAATAATATCTATTGAATATTCCTAAATAACTCTCATTTTTTATAAAAGAAAATATCTTTAATACATACATTTTCTATTTAAATATTTATTTTATTTATTTTATCACTAAAAATAATAAAAAATCATCAATCCATTAATGATGATAAAATTTATTCTTCCCTCAACACAAGCGACCAAGCAACGAAACCAACATTCATCTTCCTCAACACCATGATCGTAGGTCCATCTTCTCACAATTAACATTTTGCCTCCCTTTTCATGGCACCTCGTTTAGAACCTTCATCTCCTTCACAACTCCAAGCAACGAAACTGACAAAACCAAATTTCGTCGATTCAAGATATTACAATACAAGCTAGCTCCATATAAAGTTTCATAATTAATTATATCACAAATATATAACTAAAATAAATGTCACAAGTAAATATTATTTAGTCGATGGTGATTACTCAATAAAATTATATGTATTTATCCATATCGTCCCACAAGGCACCAAGTAAAAGAGTTTAGTTGCATCATACCTAAAAATTACAACAGGTTATTCAATCTTCGACATTAATCACCATGAATAACAATAGAGCATGTATTTGGTTGATTAAAATTTTGTTTTGCAATTACAAAGTGCAAACGTTGTTTTCCATTAGAAAGCTAACTTGATATCATGCTTGCTTCTTATATATTGCATAATTGGAGAATTACAAAAGGTGGGAATAACTTCGTTCTCTCAAAAAATGAGTAGGCAAAAAGCTATGAAGGAGATGAAGCTCTGTTAGTTACTCTCGACAGTGGTTGATGAAATAAACCAAATTGTTATTCTCGTGTGGAATCATATGAAGAATGTTTACTATTAGACATATTAAAACAAACTCATTTTTGGAACACACCTTAATTTTTTTTTAAAGACATGCATTATTTTTGGTACATGTCTTTCTTTTTGGACATAGAATTGTATTTTTGCTTTCATATGAATGTATATATTTTTTTGGAGTTTAAGCATTAGTTTTTAAAATGATGATTACTATTTCAATGATTAATGAATACACTCCAATTAAATAATACATATGTTTCTACAATTAAGAAAAATAAAAAAAAATTATGGAGCTTGAAACTTAGGTTGATAACTAGCAACAACAACAACATCAAAAGCCTTTACCATACTACATGAGGTCGGCTACATTAATCCTTTTTCTCCATTGTGTTCTATTAAAAGTCAAATTCTCATTTAAATCTAATAAAAATTTGTCATTTCTAATATTTTTTAACAAAGCCTTTTTAGGTCTACTTCTACCTTTCATAACATAAGTCAAATCTAATATATCTACTCACTTAACCGGTTCATCGGAAGGCCGGCGTTTTATTTGACCAAACCATCTAACGCGACTCTAATCTTATCTACCACAGGTGCTACTCCAACCTTTTCACATATATGCTCGTTTCATATCCTGTCTATAATAGGAGTAAAGCCACTCATCCGCCTGAGTATTCCCATCTTTGCAACACTTAAATTATTTTTATGCTTCTCTTTTAATCATCAACATTCTGCGCCATAAATCATTGCAAGTATCATCATCATTATATAGAATTTTTCCTAAAGTTTGAGGGTAATTTTCTATCACACAACACACCTGATGCATTCCTCCACTTCAACCATCCAACTTGAATTCTATTAAAAATATCCCCATCTATTTCACCATCACTCTGAACAATAGACCCAAGATGCTAAAACGTGTATTCTTATTAATGGCTTGATCTTCCAAAGTGACAATCCCCTACTAGATCTATTACTACTAAAATTATACCTCTATGTATTTGGTTTTAAAACTTAGGTTGATAACTAGGTTACTACAAATTATGTCAAAGCACATAAATGAAAATATGAGAAGTGTTAAAAGCTTTAAAGATACTGCCTACCAAGATGTTGCTTGGAAGTTGAAAGACAAGTTTGAGATTGAGCTGAGCATTGTAAAAATCATATTCGAAATTAACAAACTATATAAAACCAAGCGTAGTAGTTAAAAAGGAAGTTTGGAGTATCTTAAGATGAAAGTAAAAATATTATATTACCGGGTCATGAGAAGTATGGATCTAGGTACTCTTTCTTATCAAATGTCTTTAAAAAATACGAAATAAAGTTGATGCTTTTTGCTTGTTGTGTTATAGACTTTTCTCAAAGATGCAACTTTTATAAATATTTCTATCACAAATGACACGACGTTAGAAGATTTGTGATGAAAGATATGCTGCTGAAGATTGGGGCAAGCCGATAAATTGTCAAATCTCATTCGACACTTAATAAATTAACTTGCATGATGACAATACCTAAAGATTCATAGAGATTAGCGTAGATTCATCACAACCTATTAACTGGGATGAAGTAGTTATTAAAGAAGATCATATAGGAATGACAAAGTGAACAATATCATCTTCTTCTAAGAGAGATGTCCCACAAGAACAAAATAAGTGTCTGTTGTTGATCTAACTCTTTTTTACTATATTTTTATGATGGGTAATAGTATAGTTGAAATTGCTAATGCAATTTAATGAGAACAAGAGCTTCTGAGGAAGAAAAAAGATCATTGAACTCATAAGAGAGCTATCAAGTATTTTAAAATTTTGAGGAAGAAATTGGTACCATATATAATAACTTATCCAAAAATCCAACAATAATTTTTCTTTCTCAAAAACTATGGAATCAAAGGTTCGATGGTTGTAGAAGGAGTTAAACAAATGATTTTGTAATATAAGACCAAATGATTGATTAATCATCTTGGGTTATAATATATCAGCATCTTGAATTAATGTTTTAAGATGGATTTTGGACTTATGAAATTAAAAAAAAAAATGATCAAAATGATTCTTTATGAAGGACCAAAATAGTCCCCGACTATATTAAAGTCTCATTTTAGTCCCCTTAGGGGTATGTTTAGTTTTTTTATTATAACTTTTTAGTTAAATTATTTAGTAAATATATTTTTCAAGTAACTCTATTTTTTCCATCTCCAACAAGTACTTTTATATCTAAGCGAGAGTGGTTGAGATCGTCCGCTGTTATGGTGAATTTTTTTAAGATAATTTGTCCTCATCTAAGACATTTTAGATAGTCTTTGTAAAGAAAAGAGCATTATTATTTTGTTCAATTATCTTCATTACATTTTTTAGAGTGCTCAATTTGGTTTGTTGTGATGTGTTGATGTTTAACTGTGATGATGCTATAAGCTTATAAAAGATTTGGATTCATTTGATGGCTTTTTAATTCGTTTCTACATATATTAAAATCGTAATCCTTTTGGATGAAAAATAAAATTTCATCTATTTGTAAAGGGCATTGATAGAGAAGATTTGGTGGTTTCTTTGTTATTTTGTGGATTGGTGTTGTCGAACATGATGGCTCGTCTCATTGATTACATGATATAATTGCACTAATTAGTAGTCCATGCGCTCATAGAAACACAAAGAAGTAATTAATTTAGTCTACAACTTGTAATTCCTTCTATAACAAATCCCAAGTGAGGAGGTCATGGGCGTTGGATGCAGGAGGACAATAATTTTGCTTGAGCCAAATGACGATGACTCCATGGGAAGAATGGAAAACCACACTTCTTTGCACATCTCCTAATTGAAACGCGAATGTGGTGCGAAGAACACAAAAAAAAATCATGGTTGTGGTGCAAAGAACACAAATGAATCGCGATTGGCACGAAGAACAAAGAAGGGACACACCCCTTACACAACTCTAGCTATGATCTCCCCCTAAATATCTATCATTGCATGTCTCCCTCGCGGCTACAGTGTGAAGAACCCAAACGAATTGCGACTGGTGCGAAGAATTCCGACACTACTCGAATTCGACGGTTGAAGGAATTGCATACCAGCTCGTGCGCGATGGGAAGATTGCTAGTTTGCATTCGTCTTCAAGCTTCAGTCACAACTGTTGGGGTGCAACGCTACTCGAATTCGACGTCATTGATAAGAAGGGAAAGGCTACTCATTTGTTTCCAAGCCAAGTCTCAGCTGTTGGGGTTCGACAAAGTGTAGGTCTCGGTTTACCTAATAAAAAAGTTTGCATTACATAGATACCCCCTCCACCTTTCATAAATGGGGAAAGCAACAAACATCTAATATAAAATATGTTATAAAACTAGGACAAAGCCTTGTGTTTTGGAAACAACATATACAATAACTAGAAGAGATTTCCATGAGCATAATTAATCAACACCAACTTACTAATCCAAATATGGCACCAGATGCTCCAACAGCAGGCGATTGGCATAAGAGATAACTCATCAATGAACCTAATATCCTAACAAAAGTTGAATCAGGGAATAAGAGCATTTTGCTTTTCTTTACTTAAACAAAACTTCACTGTAATGAAAGGCAGGTCTAAAATTTATTACTTGCTATTGCTGACGTGAGGTAAACAGCAAGAAACCGTCTAGGCCCACTAAGCTGCTCAACTGTAGGACCAATCGAGTTCAAAGAGTAGCAATTAACCTGCAGAAGGTTTTTTTTTTTTTTTTTTCACAGTATTAACTTTTCCCCAAAATTGGCTAAAAGAAATACTGACCATTAGGTGTCCAATGTTGGCATGCAGAAATGACGATGTAACCAATCTCCACAATTGCCCTTTATCAATTAAGGTATTGACCTACACAAACAGATACAGTTCAAAGTCAATTAAATTAGGAAAAAAAAAAAACTCATAGTAGGTGGGTTCACTCAAATATAGTCAACCTTTGCCCCCCACAACAACAATTTCCCTTGCGTGGCAATCTGACCAATATAAACCCTGTAACATAAATTTCATGCAGAAGTTTGGTAAGAGCTGTCTGCAAAAGGGAAGAATAAACAAGAATAGGTGGACATGTTTTATTAATGGCAAACAAGGCGCAACTTAGGCTTCATTTGGGACAGCTATCTTGATGCTTTTTAAAGAAGCTTTCTAGTACAAAAATTAAAAATTTTATACTAGAAAGCTGCTTTAAGAAGCAGCAAGAAAGCCGTCCCAAACAAAACCTTAGTTTGCTAAATTGCTTTGTGATTCCATTAAAGCAGTTGAAAGGAATTCATCTTTCTACCTCATTAAGACAATATTGGTAGCTGTGCATTTATAAAGATCCGATAAGATATTTAAGAATGCTGCTTGTTTAGATAGTTTCAAGCTTCAATTTATATAGACTTTATTGGTTTGTCAACTTGTATAACTAGCTCAGTCCAATAAAATATTCATGTGGCAAGGTAAAGTCAAAAAAGGTTTCAGCCAATTTGCATTTTCACCAAAAAAAAATGCACCATCACGCTTGTTTAATAGCTACAAAAATCAATAAATAAATTGCAGTAGAATTACTAATCTTATCGTGGAACAGCCATCACTGTTCCACACATCTTTATTTGGATCTACAACAATGCATTCCCAAGCCTGATTAGAAGGAAATTTACAATAAGAAATTTGAATCATTTCTCTCCAATTGTTACCAAAATATTCCTATCATAATAGTCAAAATATTTAAACGACTGAAAGTTGAAATATGAGATGGGTTTCCTGCTTTTGAAAGCCCATGCAGTGTAATAAAAATAATTCAGGAGAAATCTGTCAGGGAGTATCGTAGCAACCACCTAAGATGTTTTGCTTGAAACATGCCATTTAAGCTTTAGATTGATGGTCAACTAAAAATCAAAGCCGGGTTGGCACAGAGTTGAAACTCATCGTAGCAATATGGAGGGGTCAAAGTCGAAAATTTAAACCAATAAGCAATTGCACATCGTTAGAAAAATTTGAATTCCAATTACATGCGCATTTGAACATGGCTTGACAATGCAAGAGAAAAATTTATAACGGAGTTGTCATGCATCCTCGACATTTTTGGGACACTGGTCACTCAGAAAAGTAGGCATTGTGTTGAGTATGCCTTTTCAAATGTCCTTATTTTCTCAAATTGAAACAGTAAATAACTTTACACTACTTGGACACCACTTTGCCAAAAACATGTTTGAGAAATAAAATAAATAGCTCATTTGCTCTTTTTAAATTTGGTGTCAAATCTATCTTAGTTTCTTCCCTAACTCTCATTGTGTCTTGTCCTTCTCATTCAATACAGTTATATCTTTATGTAACATATGCTTCATTTGTTTATCATTTTCTCCTGCATAACTTCTTAAAAGCAATTTTAATTGAGAAAACGACCTAAATGATCCCTTAACTTTTTGGGAGGGACTAAAATGATACTCAATTATTTTGAGAGATCAATTTGTTCCCTCAACTCTTCAAATGAGAACATTTTGGTCCTAACATCCAAACTAATGGAAGTTAGACTTAATGGCATGGTTTAAAATTGCGCAAAAAGAGGCGCGCCTCAACGCAATTTTAACCTTTTAAGCCTCAAAGCCTACACAATAAGAGCTGTCATTGAGGTGTACGCCTCAAGTTAGCCTCATGTTTTAGAGGCGTCCGCCTCATAAATCTAAAAAAAAAATGCTCGGTACCACTCAGTACATGCTCGGTACCGCTAGGTACATGCTCGGTACCACTCAGTATCTTTCCATACAAACAACTTATGAACTTTAAAAATAAGCAGAACTTCAAAATTACTCTTACAAAAAAAAATTTGTTCCGGAGGCACTACCCCCGAAAACCCCCGCAAGGGCGCTGCCCCTTGACCCCGCAACCTGATCGGGTCGAACCCCGCCAGGGGTCAGCGCCCCCTTGGACCCCGGCTGCCTGGCATATTGTTGTATTCATCATCTTTAGTAAAAGTTGTAAGTGTTAGTTTGCTTCTTCATGTGTGCATGCTTTGTATAAGTTTTCTTCATGAGTGCATACTTTGATTGGGAGACATTGGACTCTATAGGAGAGGAGGAAAGGGAGAGAACAGTTCATCATAATGCTGATTCAAATGAAGAATTTCATATTGTCTTATTATTGGGATATTTTGATTTCACTTAATATCTTGTGCATTTTATGTTTTATATTTTTTTCTCATTAGTATATAAAAAATTTATCATTTTATGTTTACGCAATCTTTTGATTTTGAGGCTTATGCCTCGCCTCACGAATGGAAAACGCCTCAATACCCGATTACACAATTTTAAACATTGCTTAATGGTGTTCAAAATAAAGGTATTTTAGTAGTTTTTCAATTATACTATTTATTATATATAATTTTCAAGTAATTATAATTTTTCAAAAAAAAATTATTAATCATTTGTTTAATAAGAGAAATTAATAATATTTTTAGTTATAATTTTTAAAATTATGACTTGCTCCTCTCTCTTCTCTTTCGTGTTCCTTGTTGTACTTTGTGTGCTTCACGTGATGTAGGGTTTTGAACGAGTCGCTAAAGCCTTCTTCGCCTCCTTGGACGACAAATTTGCGAAAGTTCGTCGTCATTGGATCGAACGTAGCGACGGGAGGGTTTTGAACAAGCCGCTAAAGCCTTCTTCGCCTCCTTCGATGATGTTCTTGTCGAATCGGAATTCACAAAAGTTCGTCATTCTTCCTGTTGGATCGGACATAGCGACGAGAGGGTTTTGCATGAGTCGCTAAAGCCTTCTTCGTTTTATTCGACTACATTCCTTCTTGTCGGATCGGAAGTTGCGAAAGTTCGTCATTCTTCCTTTTGGATCCGACGTAGCGATAGGAGCTCACTTGTTGTGAAGGTAACTATCATTATCACTTTCATATTATTGTTTTTGTTCCAATCATACTCTCGCTGCCATTTGAATTTTACATTATTTTTTAACAACAAGATCAAAATGGACCTATTTGAAAGAGTCGAGGGACCAAATTGGTCACTCAAAATAGTTGGGGACCATTTTTATCCCACCCAAGGAGTTAAGAGACCATTTTGGTCATTTTCTCAATTTTAATTTGTATGAAAAACTATATTATTCGCAAAAAAATTGTAAAATCAACATTTTGCCTGCACAACATGAGCACATGGACCAACTTATGGAATAGCTCAGCATTTCCTTCATAAAGTATGATAATTTTATTTCATATAACACAACAAAAGCATAATTGTATAAATCAAAAATCTAAATGCAATTTGTTTTGTGCTTGATGAAATGGAAAATTTTATTTTATTCATAAAGATATATTTTAGCATGTTTTTAAGAGGTCAAAATCAGCCTCAAATAGAAATAAAGAAGGTTATACTTGTAGAGAAATCAATTAGCATCTCATAAAGCACTAAAAAAAATAGGGTGACACCGCTTTAACAGTTTCAGACACAAAAAAAACAATCTAACTATAAAAAGGACATGACACACCATGGACTCAATGTCATAGTTTATTAATTATTAAAATAAAATATATATTTTTATTATTTTACACTAAAGACATTATTAGGTAAAGTATAATATTATATACATATACATTACAAAAGAACAACAAACCGTGTTAATATTAAAAAGAAATATGTTATCACATGTGATAATTGTTATTTGTTAACGACAATCCAAATTAGCATTTATTAATCCTTCTCATTGTCACATCTTTTTCCTAAATCAGTATTGGTTACAAAATGTTAAAAAAACCTCCAAAAAAGTAAATAGCAACACTCTCTTCAAAATAATCAAACAAAATATGACTATATGAGCAAAACTAATTGTAGTTGACACGCTCAAAGCTACGATCATCAATAGCACTAGCACCTGTGCTCTCTTCAATGACACATTCACCTTCATCTAAACAAATAACAGTTTTCAAAAGATGGCTCATAAAGAGAGATTAGCAACTTCAAGTATAACAATGTCAACCAATATAATTCATGTTGTCCTACCAATATCACATAATTTAATCTCACCTCTGGGCTCCTCTTAGACAAAAGATGAAGATTAGAATGTACAAACACTAAATCTTCAACCCCTTTGGCAATGTTCTTGTTTCTCTTCATTGAATTGATAAAAAAGTATGTACTCTTTAGCAACAAGAAAAGAAATATGATTGAGATAATAATTTAATAGCCAAACTTTATAGTCATGGGGAACTAGCATCCTAAATCATCCACCAAACATTTCCATCCATAGTGCTTCTGAAAGTTATAGAGTCATTATCAGCAAAAGCACAACTAAATTCAAAGCAGTTAGCAAACCCCAAAAAAAATATTGATCTATATTCAATATCTTAACAAACTCTCTTCAAATATTTATTCCTCTCATTTAATCTCTACACTCTTTATGTATTGCAACACTATTTGGAGCTTGACTAAACAAAAAATGGTTATAAAAAAGAAATCATCTAATAAGTGAGATTAATAATTATCTAATTTCATGATATACATCAACAAAAGTTTGGTATCATCCTCTATGGAATTATTACCAATTGCATTAGTGCCCATTTCAAAAGCCATATGCCTATTATACAAAAAAAACTAATGATAAATAGCTCAGCAACAAAAAGTATTATAAAATTGAAACTAATCATTACAAATAAAATAAAAAGTAATATAGAGTATGGAAGAGTCCATGAAAATTTGCAAAATAGCTACAACTTACAAGTTCAACCATCCATGTGTATGTATAAACTTAACATCATCTCTATAAATAGACCAAAACACATTATAAGGTAAGGAACAACCCATGATAATTTGCAAATGATTTACAAGGCATGTATTAATCAATCAAAGAAATGTAAAAAGTATGAATCCCACAATAAATTCAATTAGAAAATATATTTGGTTTTAAAAAGGCCCATGAAATAAAAACTTACTAAAAAATATGTAAAACATAACCATCCTAATTGATACGTAAAATAATTAGAACAAAGAAAAACAAACAAAATATAGGCATCCAAACTTATTAGAACAAAACAATGAAAACAAATAGCTAAAGTCATTCTTTAAATCTGTAACCATACTGAAAAATGCACTGAAATGAGCTGCTCAACAATTTATATTGTGTCGATTTAACCCTGATTGGCTGGCAAACAAGAGGTGAAGGGCACGATGATGTCAATTCACTCAAAATGTAGAGAAGACAGAGACAATAGAAACAAGAGAAGCGCATGAAACTTGCGACCTATGATCCTAGATTTACACCATGAAGCGCATGAAGGATAGATGAGCAGGAGATAATCTACAACATAGGAAATCAAGGCTTTATCTATGACCATTGGTTCTCCATCAATGGTGCTCGTTGAAATCGCTGAGTATGGCTCATTAAAGGGGAGAGATGACGTAGAGAGAATGTCTCGGAAAACACTTAGGAGAAAAATGAGAGGCTTACGCAAAAGAAATTATTTCACTAAGGCGTGTGACGTGTGCTTTATTTCTCCATTCCATGAGCGTCGCAGCATGTCCTCATGTGTCGGCCAATGTTCAACCCATTTTAGAATCCAATTTTAGTTTGAAATAATTTCAACACAATTTTGAAAGTGTTGAACATGTGTCAAGGCGTGTCAAAGTTGTGTCCATATCCCACATTAGAAATATAAGGCATTTAGAAGTATCGACGCTTCATGATTAGCATTTGATGCAACCTGCAAAGATAAAAATCACTCAAACAAAAGTCGCATCGAAAGCCTTGAAAGATACCCATAAAAGCAAGTTATCAATCAAGTTGTATTGAAAACTAACAAGTGGGTAGATCTTCATCAAACTTAAGATGCACATAGGGCAAAGCAGACCAAATTAATAGATCTTTAGTTCAACTAATTGTATACTAAATTCTCACAATCCAACCCATCTCAAAAACATCGAATAAGTCACAAGGCCTAATCCAACTAAAATATGTTCACATATCATAAGTGAGTTTTCATGGCCCAAGCATAATAGTTAGTTGATATTGGGCAAGAGAAATCAATCAAATAATGATCATGATACCAAGATATACCACCATGCCTTAACCTCATGCAATACAACCCAACAGCACCCAATATCATCAAGCATATCTATAATTCTACATGATAGTCATGCAAAACATTTAAAAGCATTCTACAATCCATTAAAGCATAAATTTTTATCATTAAATAATTTGTCATACAATGATTTGGACATAAATGATAATTCATTTTAACATAGATATTTGAGATATTTTATATCATCTAAGCCTCGCATTCATTTAATATTTAATTAGAAAAATGTTAATGTATTTCATTAGTTTGTTAACAATTAATTAGTTTTCTTGGTAATTGTTAGCAATTTATTATTCATTTTACACAATAAATAGATGTATTCTGAAGTACATAAGATTGTTTTATGGAATGAATGAAATTCATATTACATATGTCAACACCCTTACTCTTCATCCATTCTAGGATTTTAACTGTTAATCAGATGTGAGATCTAAAACCCTTCTAGAATTGGTAATCTACTTGTTCAAGTACAAGGCTTGCTTATTTGATTATGTTTTTTATCTTTCCTTCGTCCTTTTGCATCTTTCTTCATTTCCAATCTTTTCACTTCTTTCATGGTTAATATGCTTCAAATTGGTAACAAAACCAAAATTATCAGTTCATCATGTAGGATGAGTATTTTGATTATAAGTTCTACATCGTGTTAGAGTCATTTTATAATCATTTCTTCAAGTTTCCTAAAAAAACTTCTATTTTCTCTTTTCATCCAACTAAAGTCCCTTATTTGCCACATTAATTTTTCACTCTTTAGATGTGAACAACAAAATCACCTTTCACCATATACAACATTCTTCACAATGAACACTAAAATCACTATTCATCATCAAGGTTTGATATTGCACAATCAAATATTGAGGCATTTTCCTCCCATAAGATGTTTTGAGGCATAAACCTTAGAATTAAATCATTAAATTAATAAAAATAATATAACATACTAATATTAAAGTAAGATGTCAAAGTACAAACATTAAAAGCTATATCATAAAAAGTGATAAAAGGCAATAAAACTAAATAATAGGACTCACCTACTTCAAATTTGGCATAAACAAGTAGTCCAAAATCATAATTTCTAAATTCAAACTCTTTCTCAATCTCATACTTAGTGGAATCTTCACTAAAATCATTATAATTAATTACTTTCTCTCCTTTCTCATCCATAACAACCTCCCAATCTTCCTCATCATCTTCAATCTCAATCATCTTCTTCTTCTTAATCAATAAGAATATTAATTAAATTTTCAATAATGATTATTCTAATTTCTATTACATAAATTTTCTACTATTTTTATTTTTGTCTTGTTGACATGTGCTTACATCATTCTTTCCTCAATCGAAGAAGTTAACATTGAGATCTTCCTTATATAATTGTGATGGTATAACTTCATTTTTGTCATCCCTGGAGTTCAGAATTTGAGTGAAATATCATTAATAAGGCATCTTCAACATCCTCCAAAACATGCTTCCTCAAATGTCTATCTTTCAATCTCTTATATACATAATATAAACTAAGAAGTTCACCTTTAAGATAATCAAGGAATTTCTTCTCTTGGTATGAACTTGATTATAAGTACTCCAATTTTGTCTGTACTCTGATGACAACCATACTCACCTAATTTCTGAAAAACAAAATGAGATAATGTATAAAAAAAACAATTAAATGTTAAAGTTAGTGTCTATAAAATCCTTGCAAGGGAAATGTTTTATTATAATATCTTTAGCTTATTAGAATCCAAAGAATCATTTCTTGTTTTTGAAAGCTAAAATTCAGAGATCGGCCTTTATCCTCTCTATCGAGTCAACAATC